GTCTTACAAATTCAAACGAAAATTAGGATTACAATGAATTTTTCTTACTAATATAACTATTTTTCCCACAACTTCGCCAGAATCTCTGCCACGAGTCTGACGCGTTGTCATATGTTAAGGGGTTAACCCCTTGGCGTACAAATAAGACGCACTTCGGTGCGACCGAAAAGTACTGTTTAATTTGGCTGGACTGAGCAGTTATATGAACTTGGAAACAGAGCGGAATATTTACATTGGTAAATATCATTTAATAAGGTTGACATATAATATTAATGTACAATAATGAAGTAATCTTATTAAACGAAACATTAGTAGTTTTGTAAAGAATGAAATTTTTCAAAAAAAAAAAAAAAATAATGATAATATACTCATTTTTTGTATGTGGCGTTCGTCAGAGGAAGTTCTTGATGTCTCCCAGACGTCATTGTATGCCAAGAGGTTAATGAGATTTTGTCTGTTGAAGAGCATGATCGTGCACGTAGGGTTACCGTATTTTTTCATTACTGAACAGGTAGAAAAAGAGGACACGAGGAAAAGTTTTGTTGTAGTAATTAACACCGGAGCTACCAGCCGGGTCAAAGATGACCCATTCGCGACTTTTCAGAAATGAATTTTTGTGTGAGTAAAACGTGATTGGAAAATTAGATTCGTACCGATACAAATAGAAGCATAAAATAAATTCGGAAAGTTGCAAACGATAATACTTACCAGTATCGAACTATCAAATTTTTTCAAAATTTGCTAGTTCTTTAGTGTTAACCCCTTGCCTTGGGATTTTGTCATCGCATGATTCATCAATGAGATTTTCGTCGCATAAAATGAAAAAAAATAGTTGGGAGTCAAGTTATATTTTTCTGTAGATAAAACGTTTTTAAGAAATGTTTTGTTATTCTTAATTTGTTCATAGAATTCTGTACACTTTGGAGCTCTTTAAAAATGATGTCGCTTCAAAAATCAAAAAACCAGAATGATAACCCTGATGATGCACAACCTTGGCCAAAAGTATTAGGCACCATTATAAAATATGAATTATTTAAAAGTATATTTGTACTAGGAAGAAATGAAACTATTAAAACATGAAAACAATCATTTTTTATTAATTTTGTCAGTATTTTCTTTGAACTGCACAACGTAAACATTTGACAGTCACGCAGTTTCTTTCTAACTTTTACCCTGTTTTTCTCTAAAAAGAATTAACTTGCGTTGATGGTCACTCAGTTCACTATTTTTTGGCCTATTTCAAGCAAAACTAAAGGCAAGCTGACGTGTGTTAGCAGACTGCGACTTTTCAGGAAGAAACACAAAATGTAGACTACGTATCGCTCGGTTGTTTTATGCGCCGCTGTAAAACTTGTCAACTGTTTCGAAATTCCTTTGAACTAGCCGACAAAGGACGAGGAACAATAGAAAGGTTTGAAAAAAATAGTTTTCGCAGTAAGTTGCAATAACAAAGGTGCCTAATACTTCTGTCCAAGGCTGTATCTACTTCTTTAATGAGCAGAGAATGTCACGAGGATACATTTAGAACGTGTGTTATAGAAAGTTGTAATTACAAACGATGAGATAATTGTGAACTATTGACATACGTCATCCCTTGAGTAATATAGAATTAAGAAAAATTAGATTATCGAATAAATTGTGCAAGTTATCGATTTATTGGGGGAATGATATAGAGGGTGAAACAAGGGATGATTCTACATGTGAAAATGAACCGAAAATAAAGAATAAAATTTTGTCCTTTGAAGCCTCTTTTTCGAGAAAATCGACAATAAACCGAAAATAAAGAATGAAATTTTTTCCTTTGAAGCCTCATTTTCGAGAAAATCGAATTTCACCCTAGTGTGTTCTTCCGTTCGATTATACACTTCAAGTATTTGGGTCAAAAAAGACCCAAC